GTTGTATATATATATATATATATATATAGCTAAATTTTCAGATATTTCAGCAAAATCGTTCTTTTTTTGTCAAAACGGTGATTTTTTTTTTTACTTATAAAGGCGGATATTTTTTGTAATTCGCAAACGGATACGATTGCAAGAACGATTATGAGACAGAATTGCAACAAGTCGTTCAAACCATGACATCGCATTCGCTGACCCCGAGGGTCAATCCATCGGATGAAACGAAATGCACTTCGCGGCCGCGACCGAGAACTTTCATACGAGACCGTCGACGAGGCATCGCGAGATGAACTTCAAGTTTTGTGCGGGATGATCTTCAAGTTCTGGCCGATCAAGATGAAGGAGAACGGTGCCCTCGTCGGCGAGGTACGACCGGCAAGCAGGTTCGGCGAATACAAAATCGCGAACGCCGTTCTCTTTTGTTGTCCGTGTGTCTTCCGATGCAGGAAATCAGTCGATGTTGGCCGCAACAACGACGACGACGGGGATGGCAATGCGTCCGTTTCGACCATCATCACCACAACGACAACGCCGATCATCGCTTTGAGATTGAATCGAAACAGCGACACGATGTATGTTGTCCATCGCGGATCGAATTTGAGGAGAATGAAGGATGTAGCGCGATTTATAATAGATGTATAATAGTTTATTATATATAATATTGAAAACCTCGAAAGCACTGCCGATGAAAATAATGTTTTATTCTTCATGAGAAGAAAATGATATGATATCGATCGAAGAAAGAGAAATGACATGAGTTGATATTGAGAAAAAATGTATTAAATATTAATAAATCTTTGTATTAAAAAATGTACTGAAAATATACTAAATTTTAATAAATATTTGTTTAAATAGTATTAACTTAATATTTACTTACGATATTATAATTACTTAATAAATATTTATTGAATGAAAGAATGATAGTTATATCAAATGAATAATTCTTGTATCAAAAATTAAATACATTTAGTAAATATTCAGTCAGTTCTTTTCAAATATTGTTCAAAAAATACGTTTTTGCTCAATGTAAAGCTCAGTGTAAAACAAAACTTATTAAAAAGCTTATTAAACAAAGTTTATTAAAAGTCTAAAACGTTACTACAAAAAAGATAATCATCTCATTTTGAAAAAAGTTCATCAAGCTTAGGCTTGATTAAATAATCGGTCAATTTAAACATCACTATATTATGCTCAAGCATAAAAGACACGTTGGTGTTGACATGACCGTGTTTTATTTACTACGATTTGCTATTCTGGAATATAGATTTGTCGTGTTTCAGCTTATAAACATGCAGCTATGCAACTAAAGTTCGCGTGAAAATATCATTTTGCGCGCTAACCCTGCCATTATTGAAATATGTCATGTAATGATTGCATGTGAAATTACTTCTAAATCGATTTCTATTTCTGAATCTCTTACAGTAATAAGACGACGATGGTGAATGAGGAGGAATACAATATACAAAACAAGCGTCACTTCTCGCTCGATGCGAAAGGCTACCATGTACAAAATTCAAACAAGGAGGAATCGCGGTACCAAGGTATGTAATATTTTCTTTCTCAAAAAAAAAAACGTTCGCCAGGAAGCTCTATGATATTTTCAACTTAATTTTTATTTTGACATTTAATTAAACTGAGTAATCTATATTTTTTTCTTTCGCTTAAATTTAAAAAAATTATCGAAAAAATTACACTCTTCATCGTATCGCACATCGATCTCGTACATCGATCGGAATGTCGCGCTGTACTAAAAGGAACTTGCGTTCTCAGCAAAGATACACACAATAAATTAAATACAATGTAGACTTTCGGCCTGAAGCGTGCAGCGCTGGAAACACAGGGGGCGAAATGGGACGAAAGGTTCTTCACCTCGTCATTGTGCATGCATATAGAGTTTAGACCTAGCTGACGCGCGGGTCGAGGTAATCAATATTCCGCTGGTCAAGTCTAAGGTACGATCGAACGTCGCGCTGCAGCAGTAAGTCCGATCGATAGCCCGTCTCATCTTCCAAATTGCAACATTTAAATTAGTGTCTATCAAGGCTCGCGATATTTATAAACATATAGACGGAAAATTCCACGATAACACTAATTTCTTACACTAGAATCTACGGAGTGGCTAATATTTATAGCAAAATGTTTTTACATATTTTTAATATTTCTAAAACGCTTCATTACAATTTTGATATTCCAAAAATCTTTATTCTATATTTTTGTACATTTGATTTTTAAAAAATTTTGTGACGCCGCCAATGGCCCTTCTTTTAACAAATTTCTAAAATCTGTTAATGAGATTTCTTAAATGTTTAATGATATATCTTCAATGAGCACGTATTATAACATGTCTAAACGTTCCCAGAGTTTCTGCGTTCCTTCTCAATCGGCGCGCGCGAACGTCCGAAAAGCGCGAGCAGTTCGTCATCGGACATTTCCAGGAATGATCAACCGGGACGAGAGGAAGATCAGGACGCGACACTGTGAGATTACAATGGCAATGACAATAGCGAATCATCGACCCCGCGGAGCCAAAACGCTGGCGATCCGGCGTTCGACGTTATCGCGGCCATTTGTCTTTCAATGCTCGGCTCAAACGCATCAATTGCGTTCGATATCCATCGCCTGTGATTGTTTCAGTCGGTTTTAACAGTTCATAATACATTACGCCGAGTTGGTCCCACCAAATACAGAGCATGACCTTGGAGCCGTGAATATTCGATGTGGAAGCATGGCCGGGAACTCCCCATGATTTTCTGCGCTTGGGATTATCGTAATGAACCCATTTTTCGTCCCCAGTCACAATGCGATGCAGAAATCCCTTCCGTCTTTGCCTTTCAAGTAGCTGTTCACAAGCAAACAAACGCCATTCAACATCTCTCGGCTTCAATTCGTACGGCACCCAATTTCCTTGCTTCTGAATCATTCCCATGGCTTTGAGGCATTTTGAAATGGCTTGTTGAGTCATTCCCAATGATCGTGCCAATTCTTCTTGATTTTGACACGAGTCTTGCTCAAGTAATGCCTCCATCTTTCTGCATCTTCGAAAACCTTCTCTCTTCCACCGCTATGCCGGTCTTCGACGTCAAAATCACCGTTCTTGAAGCATTGAAACCACTCACGACACGTTCTTTCACTAATAGCGGCCTCACCATAAGTATTTGAGAGCATTCGATGAGCCTCAGCCGCAGATTTCTTCATATTGAAGCAAAAAATTAAAACCGCAAATGACGAGAATTTGGCTCATAAACTGACATTTTCAATCGAGAATAACTTTATGATGCAGACACAAATCGACTAATGTTTCTATGGGGTTATCTGTTGACAGATGCCCAAGTTTATTGTATGATGTCTATTGTATGATCTATTCATTTCGACCACCACTTACCGCTAAAGCCATCTAGGAAAACGGCGGAAGCAAAGTTGTACACCTAATATGTAAAACGCTTAAACTAATTGTTAGAATGAAAACTTTTTATAGCATTGCTCATTATGCTTGAGTTTTCTACATATGTATAATTATTTTTACAGTCCAAATTATTTTCTGATCTGTATTCCTCGATGAAAATTTTTCTCAGAATTTTTCATATATTTCAGAATTCACTTGTATGAAAATTTCTATATAATTTAGAATTTCTCTATAATTTTATAACTTTCTCACATTTTTTATACGAATTGCAACATTTCTCAGAAAATTTACATTTTTTTTCAAAAATTTTTATATATGTTAATTATAAAATATCGTAAGATTTTTAAGATTTTTTGTAAGTATAATTTCTGAAATGTATTATAAAAATTTAAAAATACTTTTTAAAAATTATGGGAGAAATTTCAGAATATTTCATAATTCATTTGTATGAAAATTTTCGAGAGAAGAATATAAACTTTTTGAATATTTCTGAGTTTTTTTAAGTATTTCTGAAAAATGTTCTAGTTCATATAAAAATTATAAGAAAAATTTTTATGAGGGTTTAAAAAGTTTTGACATTCTAACAATTAGTTTGAGTGTTTTACATAATTATTTTAATAGTCCAATAAAATTTATTTTTATATCTGTATCTAAATTTTTAAATACTTTAGCAAAATCATTCTTTCCGTTAATAGAACATACACACACACAAAATTAACGTTTCTGGAACTCTCTTGCAGTCTGAACCTGCGGAAGATGTCGAATCGCGTAGAAGAATGCCCTCGAAAGTACCAGTGCGCGGTTCTAGTAGGTGTCGAATGCCTTCCAACAAAAGAGTTATGGAGAAGCCCATCAGAAAAATCCAAACGGATGGTACAGCAGTGCTTTTTACAGCTTGAGAATAAAGACTGGTATCTGTCAATCTTGTAAAATCTATGTCAATATCAGCACAATTGTATGATAGGTAAATCATTGTTATTCGTTGTCTGAATTCATTGTCAGAATAATTAATGAACAAGAATTAACGAACTTTTTATTCAGCATTTATATCCTGCGTTTTAGGGAAATAACGATGAAAGGTCTGAAAGCCCTGTCACAGATCTCGAAGCAGCATTCGGAGGATTTGGACATCTGTGCGGCCAGAATGATAGGAAGGCTTTTAGGGCGACACATAAAGAATCTTCGATCGCAAGTAGCACGAGCCGCATGTCTCGCTGCCGGTGACGTTTTCAGCTCTCAGATACGGGGTATTGATTAGGTAGATATCAAGCATATCGTTTCGCATAGAAATTTAAGCACTTTTTTTATATTTTATTGAACGTCTTCTTCATGTTTTGCTTTTAGGATCTGGACGACATAGCTGGACCGTCGTTACACAGAACAGCTGATACGAATCGATTTCTTCGATCGGACAGTAACTCAGCGCTCGATTAGATGGTGCAGTATCTTCCGCCTCATAAAACCATTGGTATCATCGTACTTCGAGGAGCCAGGTAAGTCCGCAGTTTCCTTGAGATTGAGAAACGTTTTTCCGTGCGACAAAGCTGATCTCTATATTGTGATTCCTATTCTTCAGTCATCAAAATGCTATCGTTCGCGCGGCGACTGCACGACTGTTGTCGGACATCACCGATCGCATTGGACCTGATCATATTATGATCTTACCACGCAACGTGAGGGACAAGTTGTTAAATACGAGCGCAAAGTTGTTGATGGATGGAAATCTAGACGCAAGGCGAGTAAATTTACAATTAGACTCAGTAATATACATTCTCATGTCCGAAGTCAATACACTAATAAGAAAAAATGTATTAAATTTTAATAAATATTTATTTGCAATAAAAAAATGATAGTTATATCAAAACATTAACAGTTCTTATGTACATATATTTATTTGATATAAGAATACTATTTTTAATAAATATTTAGTTACTATTCAAACAAATGATTTATTAAAATTTAGTAAATTTTTTTTCAGTGTAGCATCATAATCATGATTGTAATGACTTTAATTTCCAGAAATCATGCAAAAAGGATGTTTCGGCGACTGATTCGTTGCGAAGGGTTTCGTAAAGCGTTAACGGACGCGGTGCCCGAAACGACGTTGAGACACATCGATAAAACTATGAAGACCTTATAATTGAATGTTCGATTAAATCTGTATTCGATGTAATCTAGCCATCTTACCGTTGCTCGGACTATCTCAAAAGACTGTTTATCACGCAGGATGTTTTTATTATTATTCATTAGAAGCCAATTTACGGCATAGACATGAATTTTCTACAACGTATACGCCGAAAAAGATGTCGACAAGTAGTCATATAAGTAAATTTTCTTTCCTCCGCGCTGTATATTACCTGCTCGAAATTAAATAGAGCGAGCGATGTGACTTCGAAGATCAAAAGTTAAAGAAGGTACAAGAAAAACCCGAAGAGCTTTCCTCATCTTCGCGTCATGACAAATTTGATCTTGTTTTTCATCGACGAATTTATCGCGCGATGAAGTTTTGATACTTGTAACTTTAATACATATACGCATGTATAATAATTTTTTATATGATTGTATAAAGGATGCGCTTCGGCACAAATACATTGGAGAACTGTAGTGCCTTCACGTCGGTGATCATAAATTATGCAATTGTAGCTCAATTACATTGTAATGTTCGTCGACGTGACAAAAATTGTCACGTGTTTCGAAAAGAGTAAACGATGTTATCTCGCTATTATCTTCACCAACTCTACATTAAGTTGCAGGAAGAAAAAAAAATATATATATATATATACGGAAATTTTCCTGAGGAAAGGAGTTCATTGCTGACGGCAATGAATCTATTTCAGCTAATCGCTAATGCTTTCGTGAGCCGAAAGTTTAGATTCGTTAATTCCATATATTTTTTTTGTTGTAAATTCGATTGTTACTCTCCAATATATTTTGAACTCTCGGAAATATAAGAGAAAAAAAATATCGGAGAGCATCTATAAATTTTATAGAACATGAACATCAGGTGCTGAAAATTTAGAATATGTTTATGAGAAAAATTATATAGAAAGAGTTCGTCCGAATTATTCGACTCTGATGTCTAAACTGATCTTTAGTATATCAGAGATTAACTCATATTTATATAAATAATAATTTATATG